ATCAAGGACAGTGGAATTTTGCTTGAAACTGTGCTGTAGACAAGCAATAAGGAGCCGTGCATTCTAGTTTGTAACTACTAAGTAAAGAAGGATATGTAAACATGTAATTATCTACCGCATCGGTGTGCAGATCTGTCGTATGCAATCAATGAATAGAGACGTGTTAGCAAAATCATCGAACATCTTTCTCCTCCTACGTAGCTTTGTATCTCCCGAGCATCGCTTTTCCATATACGGGTGGCAAAAAGTACGGTCTCTTGGCTCACAAGTGCGATCTGGCTCCTCAACCATCTCAGCTGCCTGATATCCACTCCATCCAGAAGCACCTGACCACTCTGATATTCGTAGAAATACTAGATCAGCTGTATCACCGACGTTTTCCCACTTCCCCTCTGTCTTACAAGTGCTACCATAGATCTGGGTTCGATGACAGGATTGAAGTGGGAGAACACGGGTTGGCTAAGCCTGGTGTTATAAGCTTCATGCACCTGGCTCAGTTGAATATAGCCTTGTACAGTCTATCCACAATCGTATCAGTCGATTGTGGATATCCATTCGATAGCTCTGAAAATGCTGCATGTTGCTTTACGGCCATCTGTGTTGCTAATAGATCAGTTGGCAATTTCAAACAGCCCTACAAATAGTATGGTGCAAACCGGCCAGCTGAAGCATGAGGAGCTGCTCGCTCCTCATGCTTCAGCTCAAGAGGCTTAGTTTCCAACTGGGAACTTTCAGAGGTACAAGCGGGATTTCTAGCTCAGTCGTAAACTCCAATCGGTTCCCTGCCTTGTGTCTGCGTCGCATTTCTCGACAGCCCTTTTTTCTCACCTTTTCGCCGCAGCCTGCATATCATTCTTAATCCAAATCATTGTTTCCAGGAAAAGGCAGGTACGCACAGCCCGTCAATCAGATATGCATGGTCATATCTCTCAGAAACGTCTCTCAGTTTCGACACTGGGCTCAGAAGGATTATAGATTGACTTACGGATTTTCGTACACCTACAGTGCGCATTGAGCTCCGAACTTGCTCTAGAACATTCCCTGCTTTACTGACAGCATCATGTATTTGAGATGTTGCTATGGCAAGCACTAGTGCCATTAATCAGACGATGCCCTCTTACACTAACCACTGGTGGTACAGAAGCTATTAGAATTTACTGCTTCGAATAGAACCGATCGTCAGGCCTATTTTGAACTTCGTCTTGAGTTCGAAGACATTTTGAGTCGACAATGACAACACTGGTGAGTAATAAGATCTTGATGTTCTGAATTTAGACTGCAAATTATTCCCAAGTCTCTTCATCACATAGCAAAAGCGTTGAAAGTAAATAATTTACTATGTAACGATACCAAGATGAGATTCTTGCCGCAAAGTTCTCAATATATGATCTTGCAACTCATACTCGTCCGATTTATCCTCGGAATGAATCTGTAGAGAGTAGTAAACTATCTTCACCTCTGAAGGTAAACGAAGATTGTACACTACCTCTTCAAATAAGGCAATACAACTGACAATCACCGCCATCTCTAGCGGTAAGGATCAACATGTTGCTGGAGTAAAGGAGAGGTAGAACTCCTATACAGTCTTGAATGAGTATCCCCTTCGTTACTGTCGTGGTCGTAATATGTAACATCCTGTTTTAACTATGGGAAACATTACATTCATTTCCTTCGTATCATTGCGACTTGAGAAGCAAAGGTGCGACTTATCTGTACGACTTATCTATAGGCTGCGACATTTGCACTTCAACGGAAATGAAATCGGTTATCTGATAATCTAACTCTACTCGATGCAACCGATGTCTTTACTTTGTCGCTAGCTAGTTGACGCTCTGGCTTAACAGGATTTTGGAAATTCTGCGGCATTTGGTCGAAGACAAAACAACACTATGCAGATCGAACCAAATCTCAGCCATCATCCACATAAAAATTGTTATTAATCTGTCTTCACAGTTATTTTTATGAATGTAGCATCGCTTTCCAATCTAGCTTCCTTTGCAACTGAAACTGAACACAGATTCCGCTTATTGATAAGCATCCTATCCAACATACGCTGGACTCTTGATTACTATGATTTTCTTTGACTTGAATACTTTTTCTTCCAAAAGTGAAATCTGCGTGATTTAACTTTGCCAATTTCACTTTTCTTCTGTCTGCAACCATCATCCCACTAAAATATGACTTCCTTGTCGTTGTTTTTTTCTATGCTCTAACTTCTAGCTGAATTCGTTAGATGCTTTGCTACAAAAACGAAGGAAGAATTACACATCTTTCACTCGTATCATAGAGATTGGAGCTACATTACACTAGAAGCAAAGAGTCAACACTTGCATATGTTGCAACAATCCGGCTTCAGCAGAGCAGAATATCTCAGTCCTGTGAAATTCCACCCCAATCTGATTCAATAGAAAGCCTTAATATGTCGTTAATGGGTTGACTCTCCAACTGAACCTTTCTTCTGTGCTGGATCAAAGAAGACAAAACAAACAAACTTATGACTTACTTCTGAACATGAACAAGGCCTTTAAGGTAAAAACATGTAACATGTGTTGCATGTTACTCCGCTGAAATAACCTGGCTGTGGCTGTATAGAACTGGAATTAGAATGTTCTCGACTGTCACCAACATAGCGGTGCATGTTTTTGAATTGCAAGAACATGGTGTCGTCCATACGTTTGGACATTTCTCGTGCCCTTCAACGACTTTAGACTATGCCCCACATCTCCTTCCTCAAATGTCGTCACAGACGTCATTGTGAAGTTGTGAATAAACATTTTTAAGGAAATAAAAAATAATCAACATGTCCAAGTATTCGAAATTCAAATGGTTTCAGAAATGTATTCATAATACTACAGTTGAGTTTTATAGAATTTTCACTTCTAACATCGATAAATAAAAAGTATAAATTCAATAAAATTCGAAACTTTTTTCAAGTTACTTTCTGATATAAGTTTTATTCTCAAGTTTATATCGTTCAAAATCTCTTTGAAATTTCAAAACTCATCACTACGGATTTGAATTTCAACAATTAAAGGAAAAAATCGTGAAACAAGTTAACTGTATCTTAATGTGTATATGATTTTTTTTTCTATTTTTCATCGACTCAAAAAAAATCAAATAAAAAATCCACTGATACTACCTCCATAACTTTTGCTATATCGAGATTTTCTAATATTCAGTTCAAAATTTTCAAAAATGCAGAAATATAATCAGAACAGAAATCAAAACTCTTCATTGAAAGGTTATAGCAGTAAATAATTATAAGGGTGCATAATATCTTACATTTTCTTGATAGGAGTTCAATTTTGTTTCTAAAAAGTACATAAAGGTCAATTTAACATTTCAATACTACTCTCTGAATTTAGGTTTTAAACACCTCCTTAAATGTAAAAGGACTTCAATTTCATGTATAATTATAATTAAAAAAACTCAGCAATAAATCTATGCGCTTCAAGAACTTAGCGTTCCCATCACAAAATCAACTTTCAATTTTGAGAAAAAAATATGAATATGATTTCAACAAGTTGACGTGGTTTATACTTCAAGCCTTGAAACATTGCAATCAAATGAATTTCTCTATAATTATTAGCTCTCAATACCAACACTAAAAACCCGCAAAAACGAGCTTAAGTCACTTTTTGTTTCAAGAAGTTCCGGGTTTCAGCAATATCTATTTTTTAAATTTTAAATCAATCTCAAAAAAAAATCATTAATTTTAGACCTGGAAACTATTCACTCAAACCCTTAATTCGAACTCTATACAATAAACAATCAGGCTTTATCTCACAATGGGGTTGCACATGAATAACGTAAGTGCGTAGACAATCTTGGGAAATTCAAAGTTCTGAACTCAATAGCAATAGGAGCAATCGGAGAAAAGTCTTCTACAATTAGAAAACTAAGTCTGGTCCAATGCTGCAAAGTAGCGAGTATCGACATATTGCTTCTGTCATCGTAATTTTTGTTTGAGAGTTCTCCTCGACTCCCTGATTGTATTCTTAGAGTTAGTTGCTCAAATTCGATTGCAGAATTTTACGTTAGCTTTCACTATATCAGGTGCGATCTCGGCTCAGATTGCAAGTTTCGCCAAAGTGACTGCCAATATCCACCTCCTCTTTTCATAATTATACGTCGTCGATGTATGAAACTAAGACAATATAGAAGCTACTTTCCTTTCATCTCTACCTAGTTTTGGTAGAAAACGCAAGTCGTTCAACCCACAAATGAAACTCTGGCTTTTGCAATGGACGAAACTATAATCATAGATATACATTTTTTTCAAATCTAAAGAGTTTGCAGACTATGATTGAGACAAAGATGAATCTCCAAAATTCCCCTGGGCTGCAAATAAATGAGTATATACGGCAACCGTCTGAGGTTCCGATTTTGATTTTGTAAGCGACTGCCCAAAACCCATGGCCACCTAGTGCCTGTTCAGCTCCCTTGAGCTTCTTCGAAACTTGTGTCAGTTGCTCTCTTTGCTCGGTGGAGATCACCAACACAATTTTGATCAATTGATTGGAGCGGCCACATGGCTGCTTACAGTGGTCATGCGTCTTCTAAAGCCTTTGTCCACGGTCCTGTCCACCCAGCTGCGGAAACGTCAGTTGATTGAAGACCTCTTTGAAGACCACACTCGATATGATGTGGTCCTTGTAAGTCGCAGATTCGAAGCCAAGAAATACTTTGTCCGCTGTAAGCTCATCCCTACTACCATTTACTACTCGGACTGCCTGTTCTATGACATTTTTTTCCAACCAGTAGATGAAATACCCGCACGTGCAGTAGATCAGATGTCGGCATCTGGTGTCGCAGTCAGGTAGCAAATCCTGCAATTGCAGGATTTGCAGGTAGCCAAAACACATCTCGTTCTCTTTTCCAAGGGCAAGACGACGAAGTCATGTCTATTGAATATGAATCATTCGTTGGTCACAGTGCTTTATCAAACAAGGGGACACCATTAAGGCTGCGACATTGTCATAATTGAGGTGCACATATTCAGTCATTGACACCTGATCGGAGATGCAGTAAAAAGCCCCTACGTCGGGCAAAAATTGCCAGCTTTATTTAACCATCGGGTATCAGAGAGGATTTTTCGTCCTGGACCAATCTCGTCTCTATTCCCCTTGCTGGCATGGCAAAACTGTAGGAATGTATCTCTGAAGTTTGTTCTTCGGATCTAGCGTTCCTCTTACCTGATGTCCTATACTGGATGATCATCATCCTCGTGACTAATCACTTAAGTTTTCTACTCCTGAGCTATTGAGCTGAGCAGAATGGGCCCAGCTCAGGTTCTCGGATCTTGTACTCTCGAATTCGCTACGTCCTGCAGTCAGACCTCCCACAGAACTATTCAACTATGCCTATTCTGCTCTTGACGACTTCGAGGCTACCCGAGCAGATTCTAGATGGTTGGACGTGTTGACCTGCGCATGCACCTTGCTAACAAGTACATGCGTGAAGAATGTTAGCTACGCTAAGACAGTAGAAAGTTGTTTGACATAAATGATGTGGGGTTATCTAATTCATGAGTAGATTCAAATCTCTGTTGTAATTTAATGTTCAGAGGCGAGCCTGTTAATGAGTCACCTGTCTAATTCACGAAATGGCAGTTCTTTCGAACTTCCAACACAGATCCCGCTGGAGCAGCGATCGTACCCATTTTCCGCATGGAGATTGCGAAGTCTGTCATGAAAGGAGAAGTGGCGCCTGCCTCCAAAGCCACCTGGCTGGCACCGAAGGAGCTGGTCAGAAGGGCTGCATCAGAGGCGAGCACGCCCCTGTTGGCGCTCACGGCCTGAAAGAATCCCTTGTCGTAGGTCTGTCCGGGGAAGCTGCCTGACGGGTCGAAGAAAACCGTGTTCAAGGGAGCATTTTGTGGGCACTGCTGCCTCAACACGTTGGCGTAATCTGGATCCAGGGTCGGATCTGTGCCATTGACTGCTCCAGGGCCGGAGAATCCGTAAAGGCGCTGGGAAAATAACCCGCACTTGGTTTTGCCTATGGTGTGCGCACCTGCGAATTTTACAGCGAACATGGCAGAAGGTGAATAAACCATTACTCTCTGACAGCGTCTCTGACACAAATCCCTATCTCACACTACTAATTCAGAAAAACTAGACTGCGCCCGCCAGTGCTGTTCGTCAAGTTCGTCTCACCTGAAAGTACCACCATATCCTTTTCGCTCATACCGACTGCGGCGAAGCCCTGGACCAGTTGCGTGTAGGTGGCGAAAGGAGAAGGCAAGCTGGACATTGATTCAGATGCAATTGAAACAATGCCGTCTTTCCTTCCGAGATCGACCACCCAAGATTGCCCTCCGATCTGCACAGACGTTGCAAGCCTGATTTAAGCTCATGATATGCAAGGTGCAGAGCCATATGACGAGTCACTATACTAAATGTATCGAATTACATCTTTCAGAATCGAGGTGGAACTGGTATTAAGTCCCAAGTGTTAGAGCATAGTTGACTCCTTCTTTACCTGGACAATGGCGTCTCGAGCTGTAAGAGCAAGGATGTCAGCGCACGAGACGACACCAGGACAGACTTCTTCCAGCTGGGCTTTAACCTGATCGATTTGAGTAAAGCCTCTGAGGGAATTGGCATTGGCGAACGAGTCCTTCTCGGCTTGGTTGCCAGAGGTGGAGTCCAGGAGAACGGATCCATCGCATCCCTGCAAATCAGAAGCGGATGATGTGAGCTCCTGGGCCGAGAAGGAGGCTAAGCTAAAAAATGCTGGAATGATTGATTCATGCTTTTGTTCTTGAATTGTGTGGCATCTTCAATTTACGAGCTCATGACGTACCCGAACGAAGCAGTCATGAAAGTGCAACCTCAGGAAGGCAGCTGCCATGGTCCTGTCACTTTGAACCATACTGGCCGTCATATTTTGCACCCAGGCAATTGCCGAAGGACAGCTGGAAGAATAGTATGATGGGTCCAGACCTGCAGGGGCCGGAGGTGGTGGTGAAACTGCTGGTGCAATTGCGGGAGGTGGTGGTGAAACTGCTGGTGCAATTGCGGGAGGTGGTGGTGAAACTGCTGGTGCAATTGCTGGAGGTGGTGTTGAAGGTGCTGGTGCAATTGCTGGAGGCGGTGGTGAAAGTGCTGGGGGTGCTGGTGGTGGCGACACTGCTGTGGGGGGCGGTGGTGAAGCTCCTGGGGGTGGTGGTGGTGGTGATGCTGCTGTAGGGGGTGGTGGCGAAGCGGCTGGGGGTGGTGGTGGTGAGACTACTGGAGGTGGTGGTGAAGCAAATCTGGGGGGTGGTGGAGAGACTGCAGTCGGGGGTGGTGGTGAAGCTGCTGTGGGAGGTGGTGGCGAGACTGCTCTTGGGGGTGGTGGGGAAGCAGCTCTTGGGGGTGGTGGTGAAGCAGCTCTTGGGGGTGGTGGCGAGATTGCTCTGGGGGGTGGTGGGGAAGCAGCTCTTGGGGGTGGTGGTGAAGCAGCTCTGGGGGGTGGTGGCGAGATTGCTCTTGGGGGTGGTGGTGAAGCAGCTCTTGGGGGTGGTGGCGAGACTGCTCTTGGGGGTGGTGGTGAAGCAGCTCTGGGGGGTGGTGGTGAGACTGCCTTTGGGGGTGGTGGTGAAGAAGCTTTGGGAGGTGGTGGTGAAACTCTTTTGGGGGGTGGTGGTGAAGCAGCTTTGGGAGGTGGTGGTGAAACTCTTTTGGGGGGTGGTGGTGAAGCAGCTTTGGGAGGTGGTGGTGAAACTCTTTTGGGGGGTGGTGGTGAAGCAGCCTTGGGGGGTGGTGGTGAAACTCTTTTTGGGGGTGGTGGTGAAGCAGCTTTGGGGGGTGGTGGTGAAACTCTTTTGGGGGGTGGTGGTGAAGCAGCCTTGGGGGGTGGTGGTGGAGCTCTTTTGGGGGGTGGTGGTGGCGTTGCTTTGGGAGGAGGTGGTGGTGAACGAGAAACTGGTGCTGGTGGGGGCGGGGATGCTGCGCTGCAGATTGGAGCTGCAATGAACAGCATAGCTCCAAGGAAGATCAAAATTGCAAACGAGCGATCCACATGAGTCCTTCTCATGATCTCCATAGGGCTCGACAGAGACGATATAGTGTCTTTGGATTCCTACACAACATTGCACGCATGAGACGAATTAAGCTTTACTGCTTGCTATCACAGTCCACCTTGGTCAATCCCAAACTCGAAGTATGACAAGACAGATTCGAAATCAGCGAGTTTCTCTATTCCAGATCACGCAACTTAGTAGTGCATTGTAAGCATTTGAAACAACACTACTTAGGCTCAAAATTTGGCCTGCTTCAAATCTTTGCAATATACAAGGAGCTGAAAACTCTTTCGAATCAGTCGAAGAAAATCCTAACTTCTGTCAGGTGAGTCGTGACATCTCCTACATAGGTACAGGAAAACACTTGAAAACTAATCAATTCACGAAGCGGATTAGTATGACATGAATGAAAGATGATCTTCACGAAGGAGTTCTCGAGAGAAGCTCAAAATTTCAAACTCGAGCTGTATATTTCAAATACTAGACTGATTGCTTCCAGAAAAGTGCTACCTGAATCAGTAAGAAGGACTCTCGAAAAATGTATGAGACAACAGAACTGATGATGAATTTGGTTCAAATCACTGCTCTACTTATACTACTCGTTCCATGGAACTCGGAGTCAATCTCAAACAGTCTCACTCTGAAGAAAACGTAGAAGCCAGGTGGGAATGTTTAGTGTTAACTGTGTTCCTCCTCTTACGGATCCAGATCTCACGTTGCTAGAGTGATTGAAACCCATCAAAGGTGCTACCTGCAAATGTAAGAAGTCTGGAAAAGGTCACTCTGATCACTCAATCCACTGTGGATACAAACGTGATCTTAGATCCTCTTTGTATATTCTGTCTCCATATGAGCTGTATATGATGCTATTGAAAGTTGATTGTTTCTTATAATTGTCAACTCACAAGGTTGACAGCGTCTAAGTGCACGTAGTTATGACGTCTTCTTCTCTGGTTGAAAATTCATGCGTCTGCAGTTCATCAGCAGTTCTACAAGTTTACAGAATGTTCTAGACAAAAATAGCGAGCCCGTTTGTAATTCGTTTTGGTCTTACTGAATTTCTCTACCACTTAGCCCTTACTTGTTTTTATCTGCTAATCAAAAGAAGTTTCGATGTTTTTAAATAATAGGACATGAACTGCAGAAGCGAAAGTCAATGCCTTTTTTTTAATTCTCCTCTGCTTTTCTCAACTATTGAGCGCTCATTTTTTTAATCAACTCACTTACTTCGGTCATTCTGTGCCCACAAACGGCGTCGACATAATTGAGTTCTTCCTTCGAACATCCAGCTATGCTCAGAGCTGTTCTCTACTTCTTTTAATATCACTCTCTGCTTCTCTGCATATTGCGCTCTTGGTGAACGTGTTGTATCCCTGCAGGTCGGACGTGAGATGCAAGCACATGCTAGAATGGTCATGCTTTAGATTCTCTTTCTTCCTGAACACGGTCCTTGCTTAGAGGAGCATAATTAGGATATGAGGGGCGAATAATTCAGATTTCTCATCGATTCACTTCATTTGATAGAAATCTATAGGTATATCTTGCATCAAACTCAAGAAATATTATTTTGTTCATAATGTACGCAGAAAGTTAGGAGTGCATATTTCTTAAGATCTGATGCGGCTATGGAGGTATTGTAGTCATACACTAACGAGTAGCAGGTTGGTGCAGTGCAGATCAAAGACTTCATGATTATCATCTACATATATGAACAGAAAATTCAAGATCACTCAGCTAAAACTGGCTATTGCGATCGTGCAGAGCCAACTTCAATTGCCAGCATGATATTTTCGGCTCCTGAAAAGGTGCCTCATGAAGTACCGGCTATAATTTTCCAGATGGAGGAGATATGGTTCGAGAAACTATTCGGGAGGAATTTGGAGGTGAGAACGAGACGTCTACAAAGTTCATGCTGTGCGAGAATTCGTGCCGAACTAACCAGGCTCTCTCCCATTTTGGCATGTCCTCTTTGTTTTCTTCCATTTCTCAGGTTGAGGCTCTTAGCACTTCCATTGATTACGAAACGGATATGAAGCTGAACCTCAATCTGAAGGCAGAAGTCTTACTTTCTCTTCGAAATTAGATCCCATTGCTCCAAGTCGAAGACCAAATCTCAGGGTGAAGCTCACGAGTTGAAAATCCATCATCGTAGTCATTTTACAACGAGTGCTCACCCACGCTCATCTATGAAACTGGAGGGTGAGGTCATGCTCAGGCTTCTTGAAAGTGATTGCGCGTACAGTATTCGTTCCCGCGTGCGGTTTTGACTTTGATCTCCTGTGTGAGACAGATCTGACGTGACCGATACTCCTTTTGCAGGCCGTAAGTGAGGGCAATCATTTCTACTGGTACTGCAGTGTGCACTTCCTGAATCGTGAATCTCCTTTGCGCAGTGTGTGAGTGAAAAAACGGGGAAAATGAGTTTAGATTCTCCGACATTGCGCATGAATGCTCAGATCAGGTTTAAAACCAATAAACTACTCACAAAACGATAAAAATAATCCAGAATAGACAATCCAGAAATGAACATACTTAATTGAGCATATGTTGAAGTCTCCTGAGTTTGAGATCTCACTACACTCGGACCAGACTGTTCGACTCGATGCAAGAAAGGAAGATACTGTTTTGCAGCTATTGCTCGTACTCTTAACTTTCAATAGTCTTCACTGGAAGTCTTCCAATCAAATATCTGAATCTTTGACACTAAGTTCTGACATTTCTGTTTGAACACTGGACTTCTGAACGAATTTGAGTTTGTTTCTAATCACGCTTATAAGGAGCTGTGTAAGCTTGAAACGGAAAGTGTTCATTGCTTACTTATAGAATCATTCCAAATATAACATGTTTATTTATAACTGCCAGAAATATTAAATCAGATGTTTCCAAATGAAACCTTCAACCATCTATTCTAAGCCACCGTTGGTTTAGTTGGAGGCTGAATGTCATTAAATCACGTGCTTCAAAAGTTCATTTCACTGTAGGTCTTGAATGGCGCATGTGTCTGCTCGATGTGTACCCGATGATCATCAACAAGGATGTGAACTTCACGTTGTGGACCCTTAAGTGTCCTCATTGTCGTGTTGTATCATGGACTCGGAATAGGCATCCACATCGTTGCAATGCATCCTCCCCCCTCTTGCGGTAACTCTTCTTCAGAGCGGTTGCCATGCGTTCCCCATAACAATCATCTCATCAAGCAACCATCTTCTTTGCTTTTGGTTGCTTTCCTTTGAGGTGCTCCGTGTGGCACCCATTCTGCATCAAAGCCCTCAAAGAGAACACCGTCGAGATACGCAGAGTGAGGCGAAAGGTATTGTTTCAGCTTATTTACTCTAGATGAGAGTCAAAACTCTGAAGACAAGTACTGTACATCCATTGAGCATTCAAGGTTCCATTGGGTGAGCCAGTTAGTTTAATCGAATTGGTTCTGAACAAACGTTCGTCGCCATTCAGCTTCAATCTTTTCCTCCTTTAGACGTCGACGTGGGGCCGTGCTGAAAGCATCCATTTTCTAGGAGTTGTATTAACTTCTTCACAGATTCTGTTCCGTATTTACACCTCGAGTTTGGTTTGATTATGGAGCTGCCATGCGAGAGCAGCATAAAGTCAAGGATGGCTGGTCCCACAAGATGACGATGCTTTGTGGAATCTGTGAACTATGGAGCGCGACAAGAGTGACATTTTCCCTTCCAATGTTCCTCGTCCATTTTCTTGACCGCAGTTCTTTAATCCAGTAACATAATATCTGACTTCTCTTACATAACGTCAAATATTTGCTTTGAAGAGAGTAGAATAGCTGCTGACTAGAATTTATAAGTCCAAATCCTTATGGCACTGTACTACTTCCGTCAAATATGTACCCATTTTTACTTAATACATATCGCTCTTGACCAGCATTGATGACCAGGAAGACACTTTGACAGCCCTAGGATGAAGTCAAGTTTCCAGCTGCATCTGACTGCTTTGCAAAGGCAGTGATTTTGCCAGAATGGTTGCAAAAGTTAAAGGGATGTTAATTTAGACATAATCGAAATATTTCCTGTTACGTGTTAGACATCAGTTATTATAGTATAGGGAGACCCATCAATTAGTAATGGGAGAAGCCCAATATGGTAAATGGGGCTAGGTTTTTATACTATCACAATGTGAAATATTTACCTTGCTAAATTGGTCTATTCACTAATTGAGATTCCAGCAACGCGATTATGAGGGGAATGCTACTCTAGTGTTTCAAGTGATTTCTCTTGTACTTTCAACCGGTTGTGTTCTTTCAGACCTTCCGGTGAAAGCAGTCAGCAGACGCCACAACTGCACCATCCTGAAAATGTACAAAACCCTTTCCACTAAGTCACTTTCCCTTTCCCCATTTTGAATCGAAGTCAAGCTGAAATGATGAAATCACCTGCCAAAGATTAATTCGTGCATTTCATTCGCAAACAAAGCTGAGCAATCAACCCGATTGTGTGCGAAAGACCTTCAGGACTCAGCGCTGACGTTAGAATGGAAGATTTGATGTTTACCTTCGAGCTCAGTGCAGGCTAATTGTAGTTCTCTTGTGAGAGAAGCTTGACCCCGCAGCATACGCATGTAATAGACTATAAATGTCTGGAAAAACAAAGACGGTGCTGTGTTCTGCACCTAGGCACGACATGTCTATCAATCCTGCTTATCTGCAGTAAAGGATACTCATCATTTGTTCACCTTAGATTCAGAAATATTGTCTCCTTCTCAGAGGGCTCGAAGAGTTAGGCTTTATCTGTGACATCACACGAGCGTCACCGAAAGATTTCGACAGGATTATTATTTACCACGTTTTCAACATCAACAACACTAACAACTGTTTGTTCCAGAACTCTCGTGATGATTTTAGCTGATGTTCGTTTCTCACCCGGTTGCTCCATGATCGTCGTGGATATATTCTCGGAGCACGTACACATTTGATTATTGCCCCGCAAACACTTATAGCTCGACCCGATTGCCAAGCGTCTGAATCGCTTACAGTATTTCTATGCTCGTGGAAGTGTAGAAAAACGTTTGTTATGCTCCAGTCGACGTTTATGTAGATTACTCGGTGTTATCTGTGAAGAGGGAGTATCTCTCTGACGTGATGTAGACGGAAGGTACTAGCTAAACCACAGTGCCTATCTGAGTCGGTGTAATGCTTTGAAGATCTCCAGTGTCTTGGGTTCCCCAGATTTTCTGCAGCTGCCCCACTTAAATAATGCACTTATCATGACAACACATGCTAGTTCAGAAAAAGTCTTGCAGAAGCTTTGAGACGCAGTCAAGGTTCAAGAGGTGCCTTTGCGGCTTATCCACATATCAAATCTTTGCAGATCTAGCCAAAAGGATTGCAATTCTGTTGTGCGACTCAGCAGCATGCATAAAACCTTCAAACTCGCTGATCACGAGATACAAAAGATTATTATCACTCTCATAACCGCTGAATAATCCAGAAATACCGAATTTGGACTTAGATTTGGAGAATACGTCGTCTGAGTGATGTATTCCACAACACGTACAACTCCTGAATATAAAGGTCTACAAAGAGA